AAAAGATAATAGGTGTCATGACCGTGAACCCCGAGTTAATTACTTGTAAACATCAATGGCTTTGATGTTGTTTCAGAACCGTGTTAGGGTTTTGAAAACTGATTTTTTCAATCAAATCAATGTATCAAAAATCAAATTGACAGTTTAATATTGTGCATAATAAGCTGATTATTTTGATATCCATCATGTACTGAAAATAATAAAAAGCCGTTTTAATACACTAATAAAATACTTTGCAGCACATCTACGGATGCAAGTGTTTATATAATTTTAAAGTAAAACTAAAGAAACACAATTTCTTGCAGATTGAATGATTCATTAATTTGTACTATTTTCAATTTCAAAAATAAAGAAATAGATTGATATTTAATTAATAATTTGTTTTTATTATTCATGTATTTTATTTTTTTAATTTACTATGACTTTATTTCGCTGCAATCTGTTTTATTCGTTAAATACTGGTTTGACTTTTTAAAAGAAAAAAAAGAGAGACAGCAGGGGGTATTGGTGCATTTTAGGATAATTAAGTTTTTAAAATAAATACAATAATTGATTTTAAATAGTTAGTAAACAAAAAAACCCCAAAATAAATAAATAAATAAATAAACTTATTAACTGCATGTATTTATTTATTATAAAAACAATCTTTTTTATTTTTAAAATTGACAATACAAACAAATTAAATAACAAACAACCGAAATGGGATTTTTTTTGGGGGGCTAATTTTATGTAAAACTATTTACGCAAAAATATGTGTCAAAGTATTTTTGAAGCATATTAAATCTGCTTTTATTTATTTTACTTCCATGATGGATATCAAAATAATCGTCTCATTATGCACAATCCTTAGCCGTCAATAGCTTCTTTGATACTTTTATTTTGTTTTGATTGAAAAAAAATTAAGTTCTCATACAAAGAGAAAATGTTATTTCAATCAGTTGCAAACTGTACACGGTCACTCTGAACACAACATAAACAAGGTATAGCGGTCAGCGAGAAAGACAATAAGTGTCATGACTGTGTACCCCGAGTTAATTACTGGTAAACAATAATGGCTATGATGTTGTTTCAGAACCGTGTTAGGGTTTTGAAAACCGATTTTTTCAATCTAAACAAAGTATCAAAAACCAAATTGACAGATTAATATTGTGCATAATGAGACGATTATTTTGATATCCATCATGTATTTAAAATAATAAAAAGTGGTTTTACTACGCCTATAAAATACTTTGTAGAACATCTACGGATGCAGGTGTTTATATAAAATAAAACTAAAGAAACACAATTTCTTGCAGATAAAAATGATTCATTAATTTGTTGTATTTTCAATTTCAAAAATAAATAGATTAATATTTGATCAATATTTTTTTATTATTCATTTACTTTACTTTATTTATTTACTATGAATTTATTTCGCTGTAATCTGTTTTATTCGTTAAGTAATGGTTTGACTTTGTACCATTTGTTCAAAAAAAAAAAAAATATAAAAAAAAAGGAAAGAAAGAAAAAAGAGAGAGATAGCAGGGGGCATTGGTGCATTTTAGAATAATTAATTTTTTAAAATCAGAACAATAATTTATTTTGAATAGTTAGTAAACAAAAAAGAAAAAAAATATTAACTGCATGTATTTAATTATGATAAAAACAATCTTTTATTTTTAAAATTGACAATACAAACAAATTAAATATCTAATACCCGAAAATGGAATTTTGTTTGGCTTATTTTATGTAAAACTATTTACGCAAAAATGTGTGTCAAAGTATTTTTGAAGCATATTAAATCTGCTTTTAATTATTTTACTTCCATGATGGATATCAAAATAATCGTCTCATTATGCACAATCTTTACCCGTCAATAGCTTCTTTTATACTTTTATTTTGTTTTGATTGAAAAAAAATTGAGTTCTCATACAAAGAGAAAATGTTATTTCAAACCGCTGCAAACTACACACGGTCGTCCTGTCACAATATAAACAAGGTATAGCGGTCAGTGAAAAAAAAAAAATAGGTGTCATGACTGTGTACCCCGAGTTAATTACTGGTAAACATCAGTGGCTTTGATGTTGTTTCAGAACCGTGTTAGGGTTTTGAAAACTGATTTTTTAATCAAAACAAAGTATCAAAAATCTAATTGACGGATTAATATTGTGCATAATGAGACGATCATTTTGATATCCATCATGGACTTAAAGTAATAAAAAGTCGTTTAAATATGCTAATAAAATACTTTGTGGCATATTTTAGCAAATAAATAAAATAAAACTAATAAATCAAATTTTGGGGGATATAAATGAGCGATAAATTAAAAAAATAAATAATAAATGAATAAATTTATATAATTCTCATTATTTATTTATCTATTTATTCATTCATTCTTAATTCAGTCGAGTTGTAGATTTATTCACATAAGAAAATAAATGAATAAAATATATCTTTAGTTTATTTAATAATTTTTATTTATTAAATAGACTTTTATTTTATTAATGCATTCATATATCATTCCTTTCAATTAATTTTTTAATTCTTTGGTAAAACAAAAATATCCCATGCATGGATTTGATAATCTGTATTGTATTCTCAAATGTTTAAATCTAGTTCTTTTACAAAGACAGTTATTACGCTCAAAGATGTTTCGAAGTAGGTCAAATAAAAAATGAAAAAGTTATAAATATATATAAAAGGTCCATAAAGTACAATGTATAAGCCGTCTAGCATCACAAGATGAAATAAATTGCTAATTTATTTCTTCTTTATAATGATGCAATTCTCTGTCCTTCTCCCCCGAAATGCTACCACACTAAAAAAATCACATTGATACAAGTAATAGAAACTAAATTACAGGGGATTTTGTTAAGGCATTTAAAAATGAGTTAACTTTTTACTAAGTCTATATTTTCAAAAAAAACTTAAAGTTTTCAAGACTATATTATTTTTCACTCTTAAATGCAACAAAAATATTTTTTAAACTCCTTTTCTTGGCCAAAATAAATGTCAGGGGACGACAGGGAGTAGACAGGGAAGGCAGGGACAACGACAGGGGACGACAGGGACTGGACAGGGAGATCAGAGAATGTCAGGGGACGACAGGGAGTAGACAGGGAGGGCAGGGACAACGACAGGGGACGACAGGGAGAGCAGGGACAACGACAGGGGATCATAGGAGAAAGTCAGGGAGAGACAGGAAAATGTCAGGGACTGACAGGGGGACAACAGGGGATTTTTTGGAATCTAAGGGGATATTTAATTCAGTAGTGCGGGTGAACAGAAAGGACGGAAGACGGACATGACAAACACTTTATGCCCCGGCCATATTTATGTCGGGGCATAAAAAATACAAATCTTAGAAACTTATGTCTTAAAAGGGGGTATACAAAGGAATTACCTTCTTTCAATTTTTTTCATCATTACTCTTCTTCACATTTATCAGAGGTTTTATAAGTGATGTAGAGGGTTTTTAATGCTTCTATGGTCAGTTCGCCGTTACTCTGCATGGAAACTCCGAGAAATCAAGACCAATATTTTTTGTATTCGTGTATTTTTTTTTTCACATTTTTTTTTTGTATCTATAAATATTTTTAACATTCCTTATGCGTTTACTCTTGTTAAAACAATGCATTTATTTGCAGACAGGTGTTTTTCGATTTAATGTTTGACATTTCTTGGCAAGGCAATTAAATGTTAAAAGATTAGAGAGCGTTGATAGACAGTCATCATCTATTGTGGTAAATATATAAAAGAATTTTAATCAGACATTTCTTTTCTGGTGCAAAATCTTTTCATTATAGAAATTGTCATTAGCACATGAAATATCGCCGAAAACAACGAATTATTGATAGACATGCCAAATCTCATATTGCTCAATAAAAATTTGTAAATCGTGCTGTTAATGTATAAATAGAATTATCTTTTTTATCTTTTAAATATATTGAAAAAGTCATTTTTATATTTTCTTTTAGGTTCATTTTTGATTTCACTTTGGATGCTTTTTAACCAGAGAAGAATCGATTAAAGTCACGATCTCTCACATATTCCTTTTGAAAGTATTGTTTTAAATGTTAAATAAAAAAAAATATAATTTTTTTCTGACCAATTATGAATGAAAAAGTGAAGGAAGACTAGAAGAAAAACATGCGTTGTTTATGACGTCATTTTTTTGTTTAACCAATGCTGCATTTGGGCCAACAATTGCATGAAGAGTCACGTATTTGTAGGATGAAAAAGTAATGCAAGGTGCACAACAGCAATTTATAATAAATATTCTACGAAAAGAGATGGGTATACCTAAAGCGTAAAAACAGATGGACGGACATCCCGATTAATAAATACCCTCCCGCTTTCAAATAGGGGGTATAAAAAGAATAAATGTAGGCAGGCAAGCATTATGGCCCATGTATTTCATTTCTGCTATTCAATGTCTCAATGTCTTTCTCAAGATTGTTGAAACACAAAAAATCTGAAACATTTGTCTGTATTTGAAATAATAATATTGTTCACTCACTTAACCTCCCGATCAGAGATTTTATTTTACACCATGTTCAACTCCCATGAGTTCTTTCAGTACTTTGATTTCTTGTAGTGCCTCATGTAAAAGAAATTCAATTTTGTTCTTGATTCCATTTCTTTTTTTATTTTTTGAAGATTTGAACCGTGCTAGTCCTTTTAGGTTATTTGCGAAACAGTGTACAGTGGACTTTAGGCTTTGGATCTTTGATGAAGAAACCTTTCCAAAATATCTCGTTTAATCTTCTTCATACCATTCTTGGAAGAATACAAATGCTCCTCTCTATCTGATTTTTCAAATATAATGCTGGTAAAACTGTATCAGATATAATGAGGAAATATAAAAAATGAATAATTCCAAGATCAAAAACCATTCTTAGTTTTTCAAACACACACACACACACACACACACTCACAAACCCTCACTCACACCCTCACACACATCCTCTCTCTCTCTCTCTCTCTCTCTCACACACAATAAAAAAATTAAAGCAGTCATATATCATTTTCAATTTATCTCAACTTTGTCAGCTAGATCTCAGTGTTTTGAACACAAACAAACAAAACGTAAGGTAAATGAATTTGTTCGCTGAACAATCAAAGTTTCCATCCAGAAAAAGAGTTATATGGTGCACCTAAGAAACCATAACAATGGTTAGCTTGAATCCAAACCCTATCTCCTTTAGAGAGGTGAAGTGTTCCACTCATTGTCGCCATTGTATATACTCCTGAACTTAGTCCACTTAAATTTGTATGTGCATCTATGTTTTGAATGGTGCCATTTTTACTTAAATAGGCATGACAGTACTGACCATATCTTGTCAGATGTGTCCAAGTAAAAACATAAACGCCAACAGCAGGCGACGTGAAAATACCAGTGTTACTATTGTAAGCACCACCCTCGTTGGTGATAACAGAGTTGAATATGATCGGTTCTGAGTTGTAATCTTTGCCTGAACTTGCATAGGCCGTGAAGGCTACAACTGATCCACCATCTGTATACAAAAATGTAGAAAAAAATCAAATTAGGAAATTATTATTTAAAAAATTTCTCATTTCTATTATCTATTTACAAGGTAAAGTTTAGATTAAAACAGGGTATTTTTTCTCAAACTGTTATCGAATTCGGTAGTGCATATGACTAAAGGAGCAATCTTTTATATCTATAGAATATTCCTTTAAGCATTGTTCAATTTATATCTAAAAAAGAAAATGCACATGCCTTGCTCCGTAGCTGATTTATCGAAGTGACTATTTAGCTCTACATGTATTAGTTTAAAACAATGACCTAATACTATGATGTCATGCAGTAGCAATAATATTTCATGGGTACTAAGTGTTTATAGAAAAAAAAACATTCTTTGTATAGTATTTATACCCCGTCTGCTCTCCACCGGCAAGTGGTGGCGTCTGCATATGAGTGAAAAATTCTCGAGTGAGACGTTAAACAATATACAATCATCAATCAATCAATATACCCCGTCTGACTCTTTCGAAGCTCATGTCATATCTTAAAATACATATTAATATATAAATTTGATCTTTTTTATCCATTGATTATAGAGAAAAAAGATTTTAAAAAGATTTTTCTTATATATTTAAGCTAAAACTTGGGTTCTCTATTGTGCCCCCTACCCCCCGCACAGACCAGTCTGACGTTAAGCTAATTTCATTATAACGTCTGAATTTGGATTTTGACTTAACACACTTCCTTTCTTTTTTAAAGCGCAACACACTTCCAAGTGCTAGCAATAATCTTTAAGTATAGTTAATAATTTATTAAATCTTCAAAATTCTAAACAATGCACAAAAATCTACGCGCGTCATCTAAATAAACAGTTTGTATAGAACTATACAGCCCATCCGACACTGCGCTAGATTTATAACAACGTCACGAATAGAAATCTCTATATAAATAACATGTGTTTTTAAATTCTTGTAGTGTCTTCCAATTTGTACACACCGTTGAAAAATTGTTTCTACTTATCTGAAATTGACACACTAAGTATATTTCAAGAATTTTGAGTTGCTTTAATATTTTGTCTCTAGCAATGTTTCAACCGTAGTTTGTGATCGAACGCTGCCCCATGCGGACGGCAGACGTCGCTTTTTTTTTTTCGAGTTTTGACACATCTTGTTAGGGTTTTTGTTTAGTATTTGTACTGTCTATATAGTTAGCGATCGACACTTAAGATATCATAAAATGCCCTCTATCCGTCATCTTCAAAGACCCCGATTTTTACAAAAATATTACGTTCCATCAATAGAAATAAAATCGTTCTGATTTGTCTTTTCATATATAAGACGTATTTTGATATACAAAAGATTGATATAGAATTGTTTATTTTTACAAAAACGTCATTGTCTACGAACTTTTTGCACAACCCTCGTGTATGCCGTTAACAAAGCTTTCTTAGCCATAATATTGTTTGAAGCAAAAATTGATGGTGTTATATGAATGTTGTTGATTTGAAATAATTATAATGGTTTATTTACTTGATTACTCTGTATATCAGTCATTTGCAGTATCCAGAAATTTTGTTTTACTCTGAACTTACAATATCTATTTTCTTTTTTCTATCGAAGCCGATAACCGGAAGACGGTTTAAAAATTCAGAGCTAAAATTGTTTGAATTACAATGTACCCTCTCTCCCAACCCCACATAACTACTTTGTCTGACTTGTTCATGGTTTCTGCCGTTTAAGATTTATACCTTTAGATAACATTAGCTGTCTACAGACTACAGACACAAAATCCTTAAACGGGCATCTTATACCCGTTGTACTATTTCAATAGTCAACATGAAGTGCTGTGAAGCCATATCATCACCATTAAGGGGGATGTGGAAAAAGGCAGTATTTTGGGAGTTAAACTTTAGTCCAAAAGCTAAGTCCGATTTTTATCATAGTCATAAAGGAGACTTTTTTCTTGACTGTGAAATGTAGCATTTTATTTAAATTTCTGACGACTATCGAAGAAAAAAGTCTGGATTACATATAAACGTATAATTATACATTCAAAGATGATACATAAATTACAAATATTTACTAACTTTAATGGTTTTAATTTTATCTCAAGCGTGCATTGCTTATTAGTTTAATGATTTTAGATTTAATACCGGCATCATTTCGGGAAATAAAAATTAAATACAGTTTAAAAAAAACAATGCATTTTTTTTCAGCTGATTCTGGCAAAAATTTTCACCGACGTATAAGCGGGTCAATGGCAAATCACTTCAAAATTATATCAAAATAACAACCAACTTATAGGCAGACCGACTTATAGGCGAGTGTATACGGTAATTGCGGTACAGCCATATAGTCACCTTCAAGTCGGTTGTGTAATATGATGTTGATTGTTGTTACGTTGATGTTGACTGTTTTTATACATAGATGATTTAAAGTAAAGATATTTATATTTAATTATACGTCGGTAGCATGATTGTAAACCCCAACCATACATGCTTCTTGCCGTTTCGGAGGACACATAAAATGTTGTAATATGGGGTGAGGTTGTCTGGTTTATGTCGATTGTTGAAATACATTTATCTGTGACCAACATCTGCCATATGATTAACAAAAAAAACTTTAAATTAATTCTGAAAAGTTTCAAATATAACGTATGTTTATGTTAGCCCATGTATATTATGGACGTCTGGATTGGATATCAATTTAGGCATTGCTGTCTTTAATTATTTGTAGGTATGTCTTATTTCGCTTATTTTGCAAATGTGTGAAGTCAAAGTTATGATTTTCTCGTGCTGGAGAAATGTAATCATGACACATTTTTTCATGCTCATGAATGTCAAGGTCTTTTTTCACTATGCCTTGTGCAATATTGAGCTCAGCTTCACCAATCGATATTTTTACAGCTAATCAATAACATAACAAACTTTTATTTCAAAGTATTTCAAATATTGAATGATAAGATTTCTTGCAAACTAATTTTGTTGCTGTTTGAGTTGTTATAAAGTTCGTAATTTTCTGTCTCCAGATGCAGTGTGACAAAAAAAGAACCTATTCATACCCTGAAATATTTTAAAAGACACCTGTTTGCTGAAAAATGTTTTATTAATGCTGAGAAAATTCCATTATGGACCGAGTAATGAGCCCAGAAAAATGGAGAATCAAACACTAAGACACTGTGGGGCATAGTATTTTTCTCATTATCTCAAAAATAAGTCTAGAAGCCTATTGATGTATCTATTTGTATGTGTGACATTCTAAATTAGAAATATACAAATTATGAGAACAATTGAACGACGAGGTTTTTTTTCAGCTAAAGGTCACTATTTCCCTTAAAGTAGCCAATCAATACAATTCATGAGACATATGAAGATCTTGAGACTATCGAGTCATTAAAAACATTGTAATAGCCATATGTGAAAACACCTTTACATTTCAATTGATTATCCAATGAATATTGAAGGATGAACTCGCTATTATCTTAGAATATCAATTTTACAAATATATATAAGAAAAATTAAAGTCAAAAAAGATATTAATACCAAGTAAAGATTATAAAAGCTTTTAAATTTACTCTGTAAAAGGTAAAGAGAGCAAAGTAACTTGAACAAAATTTTATACAAAGACAGAGTTATATGAAAACCATAATAATTGTCAGTCCTTGTGCATGTATCTGAAAGCAAGCAATATTAACCATGCATAATGTTTTTCATCAGTGTAATTCTGTCCTAAATCTCTGTTGCAAACTGGTATGGCCAGAGATTGTATAAGCTTAAAAAAAATAAATTACGTTTACAATGCATCTGTAAACTGCAATACTCCTGTATTATATATCTATTCTGTGAAGAGAATATTCTTTTATTTTAACTGAAAAGTGCATTTTTTGGCATAAAAAAGAAAATGGAAATTAAAACTCAATCATCTATGTTAAACTTTGTGGTAATTCAGGATGCAAGGTTAGAATTTCCCATTTAAAAAGTATTTGTCAATGTCCAAAGTAAAAAGTAATAAACAATCTATGCTTAATTACAAAAATGTTACTCATGCAATCAACGGTTATTTTTATCCTTAGGATAATCTTATATTTTGAATTGATATTTGTTATAATTTTTACGGACGAATTCTCTCATGAATAATTCATCAATAAATTTGATTACCTTGACTGTAAAACACATAGTAGAAGCAATTTGTTCATGCTTAATTTCCATCTGCACTTTAAATTAAGATGTATCATTGACATTACAATAACTCTACTACATGTAACATTTATTATTTAAAATAACCAAACTGGAACTTTAATATGAAAAACTGAAAGTACTTTAAATATATCTTTAAAGAAGTAGAAAGAAAAAAAAATATTTCTTACCTGAATTGACCGCAGAAAGAAAACTCAGCTTCTGTATGTTGGTTGCATTTTGATCCTTACGGATATCATTCAGAGCTTTATCCACGGCGCGGGAAAAGTTCGAAAATTTGTCTTCAATCATCATCAGACGAGAATCAATGTTTGTTGACTTTATCTCTTTCTCCATTCGATGTAAATTGCTTTCAAATGCCTCATTTTTCTGTAAGAGTTTTTCATACTGCACTTTCAGAGTAGAAGTTTCATTCCTAGCTGTATTTACATCAACATTTAGTTGTTCCTTCATTTTTAAATTTTCTAATTTAACTACTTCATTTTCTCTGCGGAGAGCTAAGAATTGTCTTTTCAGAAGATATATCTCAGTGTCATTAAGTCTTTGAATGCTTGCAAGACTGTGGTTCTGAGTGTCATTTATTCTTTCATAGATGGCACTTAATTCTTGTTGAAGTTTCGCATTATCTTGTTCAAGTCTCTGATCCATCGCTTCAAGTGCGTTCAATTCTTTTCCTAGATAAACGAGCTTATTTTTCAATATCTCGGTGTTGTTTTTGCTGTCTATTGCATCCATTACCAGATTCTGAATCTTTTGCACCATGGAAAAGCGCACCAATGATTCTTGATTAAGGATATCCCGTAAAATACTGGATGTCTTTCCAGATGTGGTACTGGGATATAAGTTGTTTTCCTCAGTTTCATCCTTTGCAGGTAGAGCAAGGTATCCATGAATAGAGAGAAAGATAAGTATTATAAATATTGACTTCTCCATCATCAGATAAAACAAATGTTGCTAAAGCATTCTAAACAGAATTGAATGTTTTGAGTTTATATAATAGGAGGGGAGGAGTTTCAAGAAATTTGGTCACGTGCTACATATCATAATCTTTACTTCATCGAATGTACGTGCCGTTTTATTTATGAAGAATAAACTTTACTTTCAGTGACGTTAAGAAATGAAGAGTTTCAAATACACTATATCTTTATTATACCCCCGCTTGAAGAGGGAGGATACTGTATATAGTGATCGGTATGTTTCCGTCCGTCCGTCCGGCCGTCTGTTACGCTTTGGGGTACCAATCTCTTATCCGCAACTCCTATCATATCACTGAAGGAAATTTAATGAAACTTTCACAGATTCTTTATTACATATTGCCATTGTGCACCTTCTATTTTATTTTGATCTGACATTTATTTTGGATTTTCCAGTGTAAAACATGGACACTGCCATTATATTCATATGGGAGGCGGGGGTATCATTTAGTGAGCTCATTGCTCACAGTACCTCTAGCTGAATACTTAGATATCTTTTAAGTACATATAACTCAATCTACATTAATTTTACGGCTCTTTTTAGATATTGAACTACTTTTATTTTCATTTCTAAAAGAGTGCTACAAAAACTTAACAAAGACTCTTTGAACATTTTCGTTTTTGTTGAATGCCTCTTTATATTTTATCTTTATTATATTTAGACTTACCAGAAATATAGTATCTTGGTTTGAAAACACCATTCTGTCTTCGTGAACTCGATTTTTTTTTTTCCAAAAAAGCTTTACAAAATTCAGAAAGCAAGGAGACGTTTAGTTTAAAGGAGAAAGATGTTAGAAAATAAGAAACAAAGAGGTAATTGGGCATGAGAAGTTCAGTGAGTTGGCATAATATTTCTAACCATATATCTGTAAGAATGTTTTAAAAATAACGAAATTGTTGTAAAAAGTACCAACAGCTGTATAGAGAGTATAAAAGTATACTGACACGCAAAAGAAACGCAACAAGCAGTATTCTACAAATGTTTGATTTTTTATCTTATGATTTTCAAAAGCGAATAAAGTAAGGCTAAATTCACTTTTCAGAACATCAGATATTTGATAAAAGTGCTAAATGTTAATCTGTTTACTTTACTAAGTAAAATATGACTCTTAAAACACCCCCCTCCCAGTCATTCAAGTTAAACGTGCAAGACTGCCCTAAATAACAATTGCAGCTTAATTTCTACGATACAGTAGGCTCATTAATATCGAGATCTGAGCGAAGGAATTATTCTTTGGCATTTTTTAAATGCCCGTTTTTCAGTTGATTAGGTCGAATTTTCTCTAACTTAGAGCAGTGTAGCCACTCTTGGACTTCCGGCACAAGGACTGTCTTTAATGCATATGATACGTAAGATCCAGTTGAGGCGTAATGTAGTGAAATTTCGCATCAGCAACTCTCCATCACTTTTACATTGAAATTTTCCAGCTAGAACAATGGAAATGCTTTCATAAGCCATTTTCAAGTAGCCTTAGCATCGTTACGGGAAACGAAAGGAGAGTTTATTTTTTGAAATATTGCTGCATTACTTATGATAAACAGTAAAAAACCCTTAAAGTTCCATAATATTGCCAAGTGTTTTGTTAAAATGCATTTTTTTTTATTTCTGTTAAGCAGACTTAAACTCCACTTCCGGTTATGGTATGAAAATCGTTCAACCGTTAAATTACTGATGTTTACCAAATTGAAGATAATTATAATTTTAAGATACAAAATCTTTACTTTACATAATTATTTCCCTCTAAACTAGGGTGTTGCGTTTCTTTTGCGTGTCAGTATATAAAAGAAAAGTATTCATTAAAAATGTCTTACTTGCTTATGTTTAGAAGACAACATTGTAACAAATTATATTTAATAAGATCATTTTATGACGTCATGAAATATTTTATATAAGCTTTATTTTGAGATTTAATAAATTCAGTTATTTTTGTAATCGTTTGATGTATCCATCTCACATTCCAAGAAACTGTGCATAATAATCAACCTTCCAACATTATTTCAAAAGAGATATTTCCCATTTTCTTCTTGAATCTTAATCAAATACTTATGTCTTTTGCTGAAAGAAACTGATTTTTTTAAATGTTCAAAAACTCGTCTGAGAAAATCAGAAAGGGAATCTGTTTCCGTGTAAAAATTGATTTCAAAAGAAAATCATTTTAGGGAAAATCCTACCAGGTATAGTTTTAGTAGAAATAATTTTCCAATTAAGATCATTCTAATTATTACATTTGTAACACCGAATGTATTTTTAATAGTCTACAATGATATAGACAAGGATGATTTTCTAACAAGAAGCCTAGAAGATAAGAAGCCGCCTAATTTACAGATTAACGTGCCATTCTAAGTAAATTAGAACAAAAGTTTTCGATCTTGGAAAACATTTTACATTTCAAGGATTACAACTAAGATGTTTAACTTTGCATAACTAATCAAAATCGACCGACGAAAGACTGACCGCGTTCTGAATTCTTTTCAAGATAAAACGACGAAAATAAATAAGAGTACCTGTTTATGAAACTTTAATTCCATTATTATAAATATCATAAAATTATGTCAATCCCTGTGGTTTTCTTAGAGAGATAAGGTACGTCGGAATCATTCATTATCCCCATTGACGTTTCCAGATTTGATTGAAAAATACTCTCCTAATCGTCTGATGTTTTCGTATCATATAGATGCGGGCGAGAAGCTGTGTTGCATGATAAAGTTATTGATAACATATCAAAATAATTATGAAAAAAATAATATAGAGGATACATTAAATGGGTTCGTTTCTTTTCTTAACACGCTTAAACAGATAAAGGATAAATCTACGTATTTCCATGCCATTAGCGTCCTACAGATAGGAAGATTGTTTCTATATTTAAACGAAATATCGCACAGAAAATGATGCAAGCCTAGTGAATTGTTTGAATTATCTGTGAGAAAGAAAGACGGAATACAACAGTAGAAATTGTAAGATGTCTCTAAAATTATTGACATATTTAAGGCAATTATCCAAAAGACAACTACTGATGACCATGCTTCAAAATATTCGAAATTTGAATATAAATATTATAAAAACTAATTTTTTATGTAACATTTCAACCCCCGCCTTCGTGCATTTTTTAAAGCTATTATCTAAATGTAACTTTCTAAAAGTTCAGGCAATTGTCATTTTTAAGAATTAAAAAATGGCTTCATTAGCATGTATAGTTACTGACGAATTGAAAACCCTATAATAGTTTACATTAGAACATAATTTTTTATATTTTGTTTTTAATTTCCGTTCAAGGACATACCACAGCCAATTCACTTTGTCATATCAAACAGTAGTATGATCTAAAAAATATTTTTAAAAGAAATTAAATCAATCTTTAAGAATAAATTTCTATTTATTTAGGATGAGTAATATGCAATAAAACTTTCTATACATGTATTTATTAGGAGTTAGAGTAATGTCACACATTTAACCCCTTACATGACATATACGCATTTCTACGCATCTGACTAAAAAAAAACAAGTATAGTGTGAAAAAACATTCATAACTTTGTTAATACTGGACATATCAGAATAAATCTTCACCGTTGGAAAGAGAAAATAAATACGAAAAAATAATATACATAAAATATTTAAATTGGTTGTACCAATTTTTTACTAGTTTGAGTAAAACTTTGCACACTATTGAAGCGATTTCGCCATTATCAAATTCAATGCGGGGGAACATGTTTTATGTAAAAATGCTAAAATTCTGGTGTTTACATCCCAACCCTACCAATCCCCACAAAATACTTTAAATTAGTTTGTAAAAAAATGTACATGTTCATAATTTTCAACACAACAATAAAATATTTTTAAAAATATATTTAACAAAGCAAGAAACTACAATGAAACCCATTATTTAATAAATGGAAATTCTAGTATAATTATGGTGTATTTCGTTGCCATGGCAACTTAAATGACATTTTTATAATAATTTTCAGAAACAACACAATACCTGCTTTCAGAATATATACATTTGTATATACAAAAATTACAAGAAATACCCCAAAAATGCATTGAAATATCAATTTGTCTAAAAATGCTTAAAATCTATGCCATGGACAGGTATAATCTTTCCAAAATAGTATTCCTTTTATTATCTATGCAAAAAGTTTAAGGAACTTGTACCGCGTCATAAAGTGCTTGAGAGGAAATTATACAGTTTAATTCTGTGCCGTGGATGCGTAACAGCTGAAAATGTTGTAAAGTGTTAATCCATGGTGAATTAGGTATAGATTATATTCAGCTATTTAAACATATCTAAATTATGCCCTGTTCACACGGAGAGTTTAATTCGAATTAAACGTAAGTTTACTGCGAATTAGCTTCGCTTAGCGTTCACACGGAGAATTTAATGCGAATTAGTTTAATTAGAATTAATTTACTGCGCATTAAATTACTTCGCATTAGCTCCGTGTGAACGCTAAGCGAAGCTAATTCGAATTAAATTTTGACGCATGTGTAAGGCCAGAATTAAGTCACAGGACACGTGTTGGTGGTTATATATAGGTATTTGTGCTATATTTGGTTCAAAAATTGAGGGAAAGTATGTTAATCACTAAAATCAATGAATACCTGTAGCCACTACATGATGTATCAAAGGATGGCTCTGGATACATGACGTGATTTACAAATGACGTCATAATAGACTTACTGACGCTTGACTGCAGAAGAAAAACTTTAATTCGCATTAGTTTACTTCGCATAAGCTGTCGTGTGAACGCAATTTAATTCGCATTAATTTGATTCGCATTAGTTTACTTCGCATTGATTTACTGCGAATTAAACTCGTCGTGTGAACAGGGCATTAGAGTTTGATATATATAGATAGATAATATAATATATTTATAATATACATTTACAGGATTAATGGGATAGGGTTGTGTTCTATGAAACAATGGAAATTTTACCGCAGATGAACAAGGCATCATTCGAAAAATTAACAGAACTTGTTTTACTTTTGATGTATTCAGAGACTTTGTTAATTAATGTTAAAGGAAAGTAGATAACAATTAGAAAATAAATCATGTCGTCATTTGAAAAAATTTAAACAAATTTAATCAATGTTGTATGTTTTACGAGACTTTAAAATGGGAAAGTGGCAAATGCAATCATAAACCTAAAGCATAGTTCAATGATGCAACTAAAGAAAAAATGATCACGTCACAATTGATGAAGTTACAGGGCACTGGAAAGAAGTTCAGTTACGTACATGTAGGTTGAATAATGCCGCTTAAAGATACTTTAATGGCGCCTTTAGAGATTTTTAATGACGCCTTATAGGACTTTAAATGACGCTAAAAGGTCTTACGGAAGGAAAAAGCCAATCAAAATGAACTTAGTCAAAGGTTTTTCTATGTATAAAGAGAGGATATCTTTTCTTTTTTTTCTCATTTCAGCAACTTTTTATGCTTAATGTCTACTGTTTTAATTTGGAGTCATGTACTAGGAATATCATATCTTTATTAGAATTGTGTCATTGAATTAAAGGGAACTCTTTTTTTAGGTGCGGATGATGCTTGCTTATATGATTGACAATATCTATGTGTTTTTGGTGACCAGGTATTCCAACAATCTAATGGAATTCCAATGGGTACCAATTGCACTCTGTTATTAGCAGACATACATTTATATTCATATGACGCAGAATTTGTGCAAAATCTTATGCGTGAATAACGAAAAAAAAACTTGCTATTTTAGATCTATCGACGAGGTATTGTCAATTAATAATAGTAATTTCCATTCTTACGTCGATACGATAAATCCTAATGAGCTTGAGATAAAAGATACCACAAAGGCTGACACATCTGTTTCATACTTGGATATTTTACTTGAAAAGGACGTGAATGGTATAATCTTACAACCATGCCATAAAATAAACTTGATGACTTTAACTCCCCTTACTTATGCATCAATATACCTTCATCACATTCATACAGATTATGAATATCTCAGTCGATTCGATACGCAAGAGCACGCTTTACGTTTGAAAAATTTCTTAAACGAGATAAATTATTGATAAACAAGTTGAAACAAGAATATCAACAGACTCGTGTAAGTTCTATAGTCGATACAATGACCTTGTCAGCAAATACAATTTACCATTGAGTCAAATGCTGACTGACGTTTTTCATCCTAGTTGTTAGTCCATTATTTTTACACTGAACTGAAAACGGATTTTTCCGTTATTACCTGATCATGACAAGGAGCACACGTCGGGTGTGACCGGTCTGCAGGGGATGCTCACTCCTCCAGGGCACCTGATCCCACTTCTGAAGTTTCAGAGGTCCGTATTTTCTCTGCTCCTATTTTGTATTATTTTATGGACTTAAAGATTTAATACTGTTAGTTATCTCCAAATCATTCATTCAGCTTCCTGGATGGGGTGTAGGCTCTTTGTCAACATCTGAAACCCACGTGCAATTCGGGGTTAGTATGTTTACTCTCAATTTTATTTCTTAAAAGTCACAAGAGGCGTATTTTTCTAATCTCAAAATTCGTATTTTATGAATTATCTGCTGAGAGTCTAATTAATTAATTAATTTAACATAGAGTGAAATTAGTCCTTGTGTGAGACCTACAAAAGAACATTTAACTCTCATTTTGATGACAAGATCTTTGATCTCAAGAGTACAGTCCCAAAATGCCTGTAATTGAAAAGAGATCATAGCAGGAGTTTTATATTTGACATATGCATTACCTGAAAATTCTGAATATTTTTTTCTTTTTTTTCTGAGCATACATTGATTTTTTTCATCTCTTTGACTTCGATATTTATGATTGATTTTAATTTCAAAAATTTTATCTTAATTGAGTACTTTTGAATATCATAAGAAAAGGTGATCTTATATGGGGACCACACTTCCTTGAATATGTTTGTAAAGTACGAAAAACAAAATTGCGCCTCCTTTGTATTTAACCTCTGTATACAGGGTTATTTTGCCACGCTTTATTTTTGCCCTTTCAGTCATGAAAACAATTTTGTTCCGTCTTAAGTTTAACTGTGTTCTTAGAGTCATCCCCGTTTTAAAGGTGCATAGACACAGATTAACTTTTCCTGTATAATCTAACGACTAATAGTTTAAAAGCATTTCAAACAAAAATATATTAAAAATTCTATTCAATCTAAAAGTAATTAAAAATTCAAATGTTTGGATGGGTTTGATTGACACAACTTTGCGCTCTCACAAAATTTACTTTTATTCTTAATACTTAGGAAAAGTTGTAATATTGTTGTGTATGAATGAAAAATATTAAAACTTTAATCCAGAAATAATTATATTCAGAGTAGATTTGTTGGAAAGCAAAATTAAATCCCTTCAAAAGTATAGTTATCCCGCGCTCAGGGATGTGTACAGAGTTTAGCAAAGAAATACAAACGCTAACTCTCGATTCTCGCCTACATTTTGGAACCATTTTATTCAATATAAATAGCAATTTAGCCATAAAATCTTTGTTTAAAACGCAGAACATTTCAATGGTAATTGATAAATTGTCTTAAAACCAGCGTTGTACAGCAAATTATCCAAAAATCAAGCTCTTTAAAAGAGGGGGTAGAAGATATTTTCCATTGAAATCGGAATTTCAAACATCACCATATTTTGAAATAGTCTTAGGTATAATTAACTGTAAAAAGGAATTTTTGTGACGCGGGGGCGGTGGAGATGTTTAAAAAATGTTTTCCATTGTCCTTTAATTTCTAAAGTGAAAAACACAAGTTTTACCAAATTTTAGAAATATCCCTCTTTGTTTTCTTAAATATCGATGAAAATCCTTATAATAATCTATAAAAATATTAAAAATTCATCGAGTATGTTAACTTTTGAAAGTTGACTTAGAAGTGAGCGGGAAAACAATAGCATCGTTCGCAGTTCTTGAGCACACCCGTGAAACGTACACTAGTGCAGGGGCTGTTATTGTTAAGTTTACGATTCACCGGGTGCGTTCAATTGTTAAAGTGTGCTCAGCCCAACCGCATGGACTGACAATATACTTTGTGTATGTTTTGCTTTCGAACATTTCTACTATGAATTTTCTGGATTAATGTTTTAATATTTTTTTGTTATACACAATAAAATTGCTACTTCTCCTAAGTATTAAGAGTAAAATTAAAATTTGTGAAAGTGCAAAGATGTGTAAATCAAACACGTCCAAAAATTTGAAGCTTTAATAACTTTAAATTGAAATAAGAATTTTTGTAAATTTTTGTGTGAAATGCTTTTAAAAGACATAAGTCGTGAAATTATACAGAAAATATTTACTTCTAATCTGTATCTATGCATCTTTAAATTCGCCAACTAGAGGTTAGACCGAAACCCTTCTACAATATCCCCAAAAATACAATCAGTTTTGGATGCAAAAGTAACAAGATATAGGATAGACATTTTATTTCTTTCTTTTCTTCCATCAAATTTAAATCTAAATGATGTTGATAAAGTGATAAAGCGGATCGTTGCTAATTTTTCCCTCTTGTGCATGCAAAATGAAACATCGAATCACATGGATAATCATGCCATCCTTTGTATCCAGCAGGTAGAGCAACGCAATGTTCTGTATTCTCCGGGTCAGGCTGTCCTTTGTCCCAGTTGTTGTAAGCTTCTTGAACATCGTTGCCGTTAGAAATATACACAAAGGTTTGGTTCTGAAGCAGGTCTGTGACGCCTATCCATAATCTTCGTATTCCTGAAATAACACAAAATGCTTGTTATAATGTACATATAATTCTGTACATTAAGGCTACATTTAATTTACTTATTTGGATTATATCCTTTGGTCGCCAGCGTGGCGAAGTTGTTAGAGCGTGTGCTCTAGAGTCGAGAAATTGATCTTTAAGTCGCGGGTTCGAATCCCATTGACGGATGTGGAGACCGGTCCTTCGGATCAAATCGTTTAAGGCGAGGTCCTGTGTCGCAGCAGGTGCTGGCATGAAAAAGATCCTTCCCTGCTCAGTTGCCTCCAGTGTAGAGAATAGGACAAAATTTGTAGCTCTCAACCGGCAAGAGGTGGTGTCTCGAAATAAGTGAAAAATTCTCCAGAGGGACATAGGCAATTTAGCCACATATGATCCACATATGCATTGCCTTTCATATGAAGATCATATGTGGATCATATGAGAATCATATGTTTACACAATCATATGAGAATCATATGTGGCCAATCATATGAGAATCATATGATCATGCATATGTTAATCATATGAAGTAATATACATATGATTCTCATATGAATGGCCCTACATATGAGAATCATATGTATATTTTGGCAGTGGTCATATGAGAATCATATGAAACTGATCATATGAGAATCATATGAAACCATATACACTAATTTTCCCTTGTTATACTCAGGTAAAAATCATATGAATATTTTGACAGTGATCATATAAGAATCATATGACACCGAAATCATATGAGAATCATATGAAACAGTATTCACTAAATGCCCTTGGTATACTCAAGTAAAATAGCAATTTCAATAATATATCTCAATAGTAATTTAAATGTACATCAATTTCAAAAAATTTGTTAGCGATAACCAGAGACGTATACGTCTCTGCAACAAGTTATGTTAAGTTCTACTCTGTTTAACCCTCCCCCCTTTTCCCTTATAAAAAAAAACCTTTCACAATTTTCTTTTTCTGTAATAATGCATATCCCAGACAAAATTGATAAAGAATATATAAATTTGCTTTTTATTTCAAATCTTTTGGGTTTGGGTTTATTATTGGTGTAAAATAAAAAAAAAATCCGTATTTTTCCCGGACCGGTTTTGACTTCTATCGGATGAAATTGTACGTCATGTTTGACGTCACTGCTGCAGCAGAAGTGCTGGGTGTTGGAAAAAGTAAGTAATCTCCTAACAATTTTTAAAAGACCTTTAATTCATATTGTTTAAATATCCTTTCATTACGGTTACAGGTTCGTATGAACTCATCTCTGTAATACCCTCAACACTTGTAATTGTTAAATTAATGCATTACGTAAACCTACATTACGTTAGTGATCTGTAAGTAATTTTGGATAAATTTGTTTCTGAATGGATGTAAACATTACAATTTACATGTTAGGCTAAAGGCATTTCTTTGTTTTCTTTTGGTTTTGACTTTTGTTACGTACTGATTTAAAAGTGAAAGTAAAAACCCTGTATAGCAGTTTGGCGTTTTTGTATGTTGAGATCGTTATCAAGTCGATTCTTTCATCAACTTAATGACAAATGTTTTTTTATGGCCTATAGATGCATTCAACAACTTCAGTTCAGTGTCACCGTGCTGCTTTTTTATTAAGTCCAAGAAGCGTAAAGCTGATAAGACTGGCGATTGATCCAAAAGCTGATTGTGACAGGCGATTGCATCATCACAATATTAAAGGTAAAAAGAAATAAAAAATCAAAGTGTACATCTGTAATGACTCCTTTATGACAAAATATTTCTTGATAATTTCTTTTTGTTCCTTTATAATTCTACATTGTTTGCATGGCTTCATCAAAAATAAATTTAACTCAATAATATAGAAGTTGTATTCTACATTATGAAACGATTTTAATCCAATGCACTTTTAAAATATGGTAAGTATGAATAGAATATGCTGGCTTTTAAAAGCTATGAAACTATACAATAACTTCAGGGGGTATAATTATAACAATGACAACTTTCAAGGTACACATATGCATGTGTATGTGTTGAAAGTACATCAGATAGCTAATCCATTGAATATTTACATCTATGTATTCATTGACTGACATTTATAACAAAAAATTTCCAATACTAATAGAGAACCTAGTTTCAGGTAAAATGCAAGATATTTAAGACTATTGAGAACCTACAAACTTGTATACTCTCTCTTTTTTGTAGTTTAATCTTTAGTAATTATGCTTAGAAAATATCTACTGTGTTAATATTGGTTTTACAGGTTCAATATACAGGTTCAATATACAGTCAGCCTCTTAGAAGAAAAAAATCCAAAGATCCTAGGCTTGTCAAAGTTTAGGTAACTACACACTGTTTAACAGACTTTGTTATATTCTTCCCAACAAAGTTTGGGATATCCTGGAATCACAAAGTCTGTTTTTCTGCCTATCTACTTGTCTGTAATTTTTTTTTTGTCCAAAAGTAATATATTTGTGTCAGAATCTTCTAAATGTTTGGCAATAATACTATTTGAATTAACATTCCATATTCGATTGACAAAAATAAAAAAAAAAAAATGCTTTTTATGATTTTAATATGAAGCATATCTTCCAATAGTGTAATTGTCTTGCAAAATTCAATTCAATTGTCAAAATAAGAAAAAATGCTTTTTATAATTTTATTATGAAGCATATCTTCCAACAGTGTCTTGCAAATTACATCATAGGATTTCACAAAACACCTAGTATAACATATATAACATTAGTTTTATCTCGTATTATATCTGTGTCGGTGAATTTGGAATACATTTGTTTGCTGATGAATAAATTACTTTAATATAACTTGTAGAATTGATTTTGTAATTTAAGAATTATTTTTATTTTTGAAATTTTTGTAGAAAACATTCTGTGCCACAAAGAAATTGTTCAGGAAGGGGAGAATTGGTTGATTTGCATTTTTGGTACAGTTCAAAGAGATTTTCAAAATGGTCAGATCAGAGGGAGGACAACTGAAAATATTGAAAAGATAAAGAAGGAAAAAGAAGCTGGAAATATATGGAATAATTATGAAATGTGGAGGATGTAGACAACCTTGCTGAATTTGACCTGTAAACATTTCCCATTTTTATTTGTATGCTAGAATATCAAAAAACTTGATTTTTCATAAATTTACAATAGAGAATACATGACAAATGTTATTGCTGATATTTCAATTTTGCTGTGGACACTTTCTTGTCATATGGTATTTTTATACGTCAAGTACATGACCTAATTATTTTATTCATTTGTACTTGTATACATGTTTAACTACTTAATCATTTTACTGAAATCTTATAATTTGTACTCATTTTAGAATATGTTAATACATGTATCGACAAAAGCCACCGACTTGTTTGTATATTTTCTTGTTTAGAATGTACACTGTGAAAAATTAGTTATTTCTCTTGATGAAAATAATTTTATCAAAAAAGTTATGTAAGCATTATAAGATATTTTAAAATATTTAACCAATGAAGATAGATCATTGTACATGTAATGTAATGAATTTTCATCTGAAGCAGAAATATCTTATTTTTAAATGTGTACAAGAATGTGAAAAATATTGAAAGAGAACACACATAACTGTTTCATATGATTTACATATGATGCCCCTTTCATATGATTCTCATATTAAATGGCTTGAAACCCACTTTAGTATTTCATATGATTTACATATGATACCCTTTTCATATGATTCTCATATGTAAATGGCTTGAAACACACTTAAATCATTCATATGCAACTCATATGTAGTTATTTTCATATGATTCACATATGTGGATCATATGTAAATCATATGATTTGCTTCATATGATTCACATATGATGCCCTTTTTTTCTATGATTCTCATATGAAACCAATCATATGAGAATCATATGATACTCATATGAGAATCATATGTGGCTAAGTTGCCTGTGGACGTTAAAAACAATCAGTCAATCATTTTATTTTGCTTACTGCCAAAACAAAACCCACAAATTGCTACATATATAATATATCAGTGCATATTTCATTGCTATTATAGAATAAATAAATATAATTGCAAAGAATCATCCAAGTATTGATATCAATTTTTTTTTTATATTTTACCTCTGTCAGTGTTAACAAAGTTTATAATTGCTAGGTACATAAAAAAACATTTTCTTGCATTGTTAAAACAAAATACAGCTGATATGGTTAATCAGATAAAATTATAGTTTTGTACCGAATTTTGATTTTTTTAAATTATTTTGCTATTGCAAAAGGTATTTGACACCTGTAGACAATGACATACTTTGTAAAAAACAAATGAATATAAACAATACGTACTAAATCTGTTGATTATTGTCATCTTATCTACCTGAAAGAAAACGGTTGTGTGATTCGGGACAGCATTTCACTATAAAAAAAGCAACTCCCACGAAGCTGACCGTCAGATAAAATATCTTTAAACATGCACGAATTTGTTAAGGCAGCAGACGGATCAGAATGCGGGAAATTAACACTTTTTAAATAATATGTAACACTAATAAATCGGAAAAGTCATTGATAAAAGTTTTGCTATCATAATGCATTCTGTAAACTTCAATGGGATTTATACTACAGTAAAACTACACCAAGACGTCACCAAGTGAGTCTATAATTAGAAAATATGCCTTAATGAAAAAGCGAAAAGGTCAACTCTACACCGGAGATAATTAATTTCAATTTGTAATAAAAAAAAAATTCTGTACCCTGAAAAGCGCTTCTAGAATCCTACTGTCCTATCACAGAAAAAAATAAGTCAGCATTTGTCGGACGAAACCTTCCCAAAATTTTAACATTTTGTGCATGAGATGAAAAAAACGCACCAATTCCCGTTAACCATAGGATTCTAGCAGTACTTTCTAAAAACAATAGCATAAAAACTGTAGATCGAAACAAAAATTAAATTTCAAAATATGCAGCCTAGTGTTGAACTTTTGCGAGGACAGAGGAAAGACTGGTCGGCAATTAAACGCACTCTCTGCTTTTATTGTACGAAGAAATTGTAAAATTATATATACCTTATACATAAGTTTTTTTCCCACATGAAACACACATGATATTTATTCTAAATGCTTTTAAACTCTGATTTCTTGTGTTCCTTTACATTACTTCTCGTTTCGTTTCACTTTAACTATGCAAATACTTATCAACAGTTATGACGTCATGGGTTTGGTATTTAACCCCTGTGATAAATACATAAACACAGAAACAACGAAAATCCTATTATATTATACCTCTGCATATTGTAATTTTTCGACCTCAAAATTAATCCTAGATAACGATTTTAAGAAAGTGTTATCTCTTTAGTTTACATGATATAGCTTACTATGACGTCATATCATATAGGCCAGTAGAATATTTGGTTGTAACCGTAACATTCCTGCGTGGCACCCACAGCCTTCCGTAAACATACATGTAAATGTAACTGTTTTCTGTTTCGAGTACAATATCGAATGAAATTATGTATTGTTAATAAAATACCTTTAAGTTCCCTGTACTTTAAATATTTCTTACCTCTAACTACACCCTGGACGAGCATCCAATTTTCCTCAGCAGCTGCATTTGGTTCCACTAAGTTTGAGTTCATTCCATAGCACCTTGTCTGAAAAGGTAGATTTAAATGTTTTATAATTGTTTACTACTAAAACCGGTCACTCTTAACATGTATTTGAGGAATTTCATTTCACTAAATATCTAAAACAAATCTGCGGTTTGCATTGGAAAGTAAAACTCGAATTTCAATGCGATTGTGCACACAGGGAAACTTGCAACATATTGTCTCGAAAAATAAACATTTTTGATATTTTTTTCAATTTTTTTTTAATTATTATCTCTATATCGAGCAAATAGAAAAAAAATACTAACTATACAAATGCAATAAATGTTCATTGAGATTAAATCTTTTAAGCAATACATTTTTATACATGTACACTGTAATGACAATTATAATTGTACTTTTATACGGTCTGTTATTTTAAATCAGATAGCACGTGCATTTAATACGCTTTTGAAAGGTAGGAGAATACAAACCGTAAAATCACATTTTATTTAGGGGTCAAATTTTCATGAATTGAAGGGAAAATATTAGTTTATAGGGTTTTATTAAGAATTATTCTTTTATATCATTAACTTCATAACTTTGCAGCAATATTCGAACATGTTCGTACATCACCTGCATACGAGATTATATATCTAAGTTGTACGAAACTTACATGTAATGCATGTTCTATGTAAGAAAAATTTCTAAAACTAAATGAATTATTGACAAACATGTTGGTGAAACAAGAATATAAGCGGTCTCATTTAAAGTCATCATTTCATAAGTTCTATGGTCGATACAATGATATCTTATCAGCAAATACAATTTATCATTGATTCAAATGCTGACAGATGTTATTCATTTTACTTGTTAGTCCATTATTTATACAAAATTGACAACGGATTTTTTTTTTAGTTATTTCCCTTCCAATAATCGGAAATAAAATAAGTGCTAATATACATTCATATGTATTTATTGAATTATTTCAAGAACTCACAACTGCATCCTTAAACGTTGTTGAGGTATTCGAAAACTTGTAGCAGTGGTCACCATATGGAATCCATCCAGTTTCACAAACTGCAAAAGATACGCAGTTTAATCAAGAAACTTATATAAAAGAACGTACATTGCTACTGCAAATTGGAACAGGAGAAAGCTATTAATTTATTTTTAAAAAGTTGATTAATGGAAATGCTGTAAATTAGGCGACACCCGTTATACTTTACATGAATTAATCTATGTTTCCAACTTTAGGTTGGAAAGGGAAGGGAATATGCCCCTTGCATATCCAAAAAAAAAAACTAGTTAGTGATTCCATTTATTTTAATTTCATTGACTAACTTTCAAAGGGAGGTATCACAAAAAACAAAACAAAACAAATAGAAATGAAATATTTAATCATTAAAGTCTAGATGAGAAATAACGAAATAACATCTTACCTTTCTTAGAAGTTGTGAGGGTGGTCAAGCCGAATATTAAAGCTACCGGAAATAACCATGTTGTATGCATAGCATATGCAAAACGTGCTGTTTGTTTGTACGCAGTACAATTTAAATTGCGGGTCGAGTGCTCAAAGCACTGCTTATATTTGTAAAGGTGACTCATATATTTTCGAAAGATTTTAGAACAATTGGCTTTTCAATCTGTCTCCGAACATCAGTTGTTCATAGCAATTGCATCCTGTTTATTAATGTATAGTTATGTAACACATGCTTTAAAAACAAATATTTTGATATATCAATGTTAATTTCATGGTCGTATAACTACTAACTTTACTGATTATTCAACACATTTTCTACTCCTTCATCGTTACATATTGAAAAGGAACTCCTTACTCAGCAAATAAATGTAAATTCTCCATCGTAGTACATTAATCATACATTAACCTTCATTTTATTGATAGACAAAAATTCTAGTCGATTTTTTTGTAAGAAATAATCATTCTTGTGTGATCAATTAGGGACAAAAAGTAGAGTGTTAGTAGGTGTCTGGACGTAAATGGTTCTTGTGAGGATAGTTTCATTTTTGATAGACAGATAATCAAAGTATCTTTTTTACCGATAGATTAAAAAGTGGGGTTTTTGCCTGGACGTGAATGGTTCTAATAAGGCAAGTTTCCCTTGACAGACAGATAATCAGTCTTAAATACCCACAGTTTAATAATAGACTATTTTTTTTTTTTACAATTTGAATGCAAAAAAAGACAAACGAAAATTTATGATGATATCACATAAAATATTATGTAAAAAATGCTAACATGCTAGGAAATAACGTCTTTAAACAAAAATGTGGTGTAATGTCTGCTTTAATTTGTCAATGTTATGTTATGTTGAGACATCTTAGAGTGTTTCTGAAGTAATAAATCAATAAAATGCTCTTAGTTTTCACTACATTTTCAGCTGTCCCAGTTTATGTACACTGCGCAGTACGGTCAAGGTTATCAACTGTAAAATAGGCAATTTTTGTGATGAAAAAATACAGTTTTTTTTATTAGAGAGCTGATTGTTTTGCGTACTTTATTACAATCAGACGAATAAAATATGGCAATTTAAAATATATCGAGGACGACTTGAGTTTCTATTAAGCCTAGTGGCAGTCATATGAATTTGCAAATAAACATGCAGTACTGAGGTCACGTATAAATTTCCATAATGCGAGGGCATAAACAAGTCAAAATTCTAAACAAAGCTATGAATACTTTCAACGCCATTTGGGTTTTAAAAATTAAGTGATATGGTCCTAGATAGATTCTGCTATTTCATTGTTAAGATATCATTTACACTGCATGCTGAATTTCTGCTGATCATCAGCAGTTCACATACATGTAGAAGTTATTCAATCATTTTCAAGAGTTCACTTAACTTGATCATAAACGACTTCTTTAGCAGCTTTATACTTTTATGTGTAATTGATTTGGATTGATTTGTTTCATATAGCTATTATAAATTTCGACATAATTTACATTATAATTTTACATGAGAAAGAACCAGAAGGGGGGGGGGTTAGTATTGAAATCCTGAAATTCTTTTTGACATCATCAATTAATAAGAATATACCTCCATGTACCACTTAATTTGAAAAAATTAGTCGTTCTAAAACTCGGCCAGCCAGAAATATTACGTACATGTAACAGACACATTGAGCTGGACAGTCATGCTCATTAAAATTTTGATTTCTTGTTGAATACATGTAAGATCGATATCAAAGTTTTACTATAAATTCATCAGCGTGGTTCATTAAAACAACTGATACATATTTATTTCTGATTTATTAATTTGAACTGAACATTTATTATTGATTTAAGTAAATAAATAGATCAAGAAATGAATTGAAATCACGGTTTTAGGAAATTCGGTTCTTTTTTTAAATTCTTTTTAAATGATAGCGAAAATGCCTGGATTCTAACACTTGCCTACTTTTAAATATTAAATCATTTTCGCAAATTGAAATTCAATTGTTATTCTTCGGTGCCATTTCACCTATTGATAGCAGTCAGCGTAATTGTACTTCCGGGCAAGAGGAGCCCGGTCAATAAATCTACTATAAAAGTGACATTTTACACGTCTAATTAAATGAAGACAGACAAAGGTGCAACATAAATTGAAGAATAATTCCCCATCATATTTTTAAACTAATTAGGTTGTGTATATCGTTGTGTGTGTGTATGGGGGAGGGGGTATTAAACTTTTAATTTATCTTTTTATTGAAGCTCCATCCACCCCATCCCATCTCCAAATAATCACCACCGGGAATCCCTGTAATTTATAATTTATACATGCATGTGACCTATTAATCATTTAATCATTCTGTTTTATAAGTAAATACCGTAATTAAACAGTGTTAATGGTGTGAATGAAAAGGATGCATACACTGCGCGGTCACACTTACACAGTCATGTAGATATCTTGCCATTTTTCCTGCAGATATTTTTTTTCAAATTTGGGAAGACATATTAAATTAATTATATACTTATGTCAAACAACAACAAAAAAAATTTAAATAACATCTTGGCCCATGCAATAAAAAGCAATATATCTAAAATGAAATGACTTTCGAGTCAATCTTATATATTTTCTTTATATATTTGATTAAAAAAAATCTAGCTCGCAAGCCGCACGCTTCAGGGATCTAAATTTCCAATTTTATAAATTAACAAGACAATGAATTATATGAAAAAATGTCTCTAAACATACATATATTAGTAACCTTACAATTAAAAAAAAACAAAAAAAATAAAAAAAAAAACATGGTCACGTTCACTCCGAAAAGGTTGGACGTTTAACGTTGGTGCAAAACATGACGTCATGATCTCACTGTTGAATTATAATTGAAATAAATGAAGAAAAAGCATACTTAGAGTTGGAGTAGGACCATAAAATTTACATATTTGTCAACTCCTAACCCTGCTCTATCAAAATCCTTGAAAAACTCAAAATGTGTAAAAATTGCCATGAGCACCTTTTACTTTTGGGCGCAATCATATACCACCCTTTTCGCATACTCACTCTTTTTTTCAAAGTTCATATGTGACCTTCATCTCGACATTTAGATATATCGACGACGTATTATTAAATAACAATTATGGTTATTTTCAAAAATATGTTGATAAATATATCCCAGTGAGCCCTTAAAAAGATACCACAGGATCTTAGCATCTGGGTTTTTTTTTGTGTGTGGTTATTTTAGTGTAAGAAGACGTAAATGATAATCCAACTTCAACGTTTTATAGTAAATGTAATGACTTAAACTTGCAATCGTCAAGTTCCCATAGTAATACAGCAACATATCACCTGCATACTCAGTTGATTTGATATGCAAAAGCATCCTCTACTTATAAACAATTTCAAATCCGAGGTAGGTAAATTATTGACAAACAAGTTGTAAAAACAGAAATATCAGCAATCTCGTTTAAAGTCCTCATTTAGTCAGTTATATGGTCATTACAACCACCTTTTCAGCTAAAACAATTTATCATTGAATCAAATTCTGACTGATGTTTTTTCAATCTAATTTTTAGGCTATAATGTAAACAAGATCTAGTCTATTGATTTCCCTCTTATTCCTCTTTCATGACAAGGAGCACACGGCGGTTGAGACCGGTCTGCAGGGGATGCTCACTTATCCAAGGCATCTGATCATGCATATACCTTTGATGTTTCGTTATGATAAACCGTGTTTGTGTTTGCACTACTCCAAAATGGATTTGTAATGGACTTTTAAGCTTGAATATTGTTTGTTATTTTTCATTAGAGTTTCTATTGAAAAAGACAGTAGATAGTTTTCATTGACGCCATTGGTTCACAAAACACTGAAATGCTTTAATAATAGTAAAGTGAACGAAATGCTGATAAACAAATTTATTTTTGTGAATATTTGACAACGTCTAGATACACATGAATACAGATCTGTAAAGAAAAAAGCGATAAAGCATATAATTGTCTGGTTTTCAAATGGGTACCTGTAAAGTAACTTAGTCTAGATATTAACTGGACTTGTAAAGATTATTAAGATAGATATATCAGAACTACATTTTGTATCTATTTTCATGTATTAAATGTAAAATTGAAATTGCTGAAGACGGGGACTCAAATCTTCTTATGAACTCTGGTACTGTTTTTTAAAAAATCTATTTGCTCTTCTCCATCATTTTAGAAATATTTAAATTATAAGAAACGAAAGTAGATTCTAACAAGCATTAATGTCAAAAGATGTAAAGCTTGGAAAAATATCACGAATTCGCTGTGACATTTACACTTTCGAAGGAACAAGATAGGTGAATCAGTAAGTAAAAGGCCTTTTCATGAACACATGGCTTAGGAACTAAAGACTTAACAACCTTGTTCAAGATTTTCATATATCAATATACTTAAGAAGAGAAACGCTTGCCTCATAAAAGAAAAGCTCCAAATTGTTAAATAAAAGAGAATTAAAAATAGAGCAAAGCTCGTTGCAAAGCAAAGAGTAGGTCCTCCATCCTGTTTGACCGGAAGTAAATTTTATTTTTAAAAAAATGAGAGAATGACGTCTGTAATGATTAAAATCTTCCTAATTTATGTTGAAAATTGCAAAAGTAAGCCATTTTTTGCTACTTTTTGTTTGACCGGAAGTGACGTCGACGAACAAAAATTAAGTTTCATGCTTCCAGTGACAAATATTTCCCCAAAACATAACAAAAACGGAAAAAATATGCAGTTTCGGACTACATGTACTTCCGGATTGGTCGGACGTGACGTCACTGGACGTATTTCGATGATATCAGTAGATTTTACCAGAGATTTTCAACGACTTTGCTTCTTTGATGTATATCAAATTCTCAATACTTTTTGAGATATCTGGAAAAAACTTTTGGCCCCTCTAGATGCCTTAATTTAGGGGTCAGCCCTTTTTCTCAGATATTATTTGGTAGATCTTCTAATTCTGCACAAATTATATTCTATATATTTCAACAAGATATTGATTAGTTTAGAGAATAATAAGCAATATATGAATAAATTTTGGCTCTTTTAAGCGTTCTAATTTTTTACCCCTATATAGCGCCATTTTGAATAGAGAAATCGAAAAACAAAAACCAAT